CTACCTGGTTATGCTAATGAGTTCCTGCTGGGCGTGGCCAACTCCGGAGCCAGCCGGAACTCCGTTCCTGTGCGTTCCTGCCCAAAAATAGCCCTGGGTAGGGTTCCCCTCCTTTTTGAGCCTGCAGGGCCCATTCGGCATTCTGACACAGCCTGGTGGGTGCAGCAACAAAATGGCTGCCACAGGAGGTGGAGCCCGCCACAAAATGATCGCCGCAGCTTAACTTCGGTCACACGGTGCAGATCTTTGCACTGTGGTGGCAGCTGCTGCCAAGGCAACATTTAAAAAAAAAAAAAACCTGCATGGCCAGTCAAATCTCCAGTAGTCAGTCGGAGGCCTTGCACGGCAAAAGCCCTACCTGGCCCCACCCACTTCTTAGAACACTTAGAACATCAGAAAAGGTCTCCGTGGGCAGCACAGTGCCCACGGCCACCACGTTGCGGACCCCTGGTATATACTGTATTGACCCTCCCTATGTTGTCACTAGCGGACGTGGGTGTTTCTGTCTCTTCTCACCCATTCCTTGTCCTCTGCTTCTCCCCTGGAGCTGAGAGTGCATTCACATGTATGTGTACAGAAATGCTTCAGGAACGAAGCTTTTTAATTCATGGCCCAGTGGCTGCGCGCTTTTCTTGTGGGCGTTAACCAGTGCCAGTGCCAGTTGCGCACAGAGTTTGGCAATATTCCAGGCTGTGTTTTAAATCCCCTTCACGACTCTCTTGAGTGGATTTCTAACGATGCTGGTAAACCACCTCGTGGGCTTGGCTAAGACCAGTTAAAGAAAAAACAGGACAACACACATGATGATGTATGGGGGGGGGGTGTTGCCAAAGATTTCTCATGGAACATCACGGCTCCGCAGCCTCACCCATGGCAGAAGGTGGGGGGGGGGTTGATGAAGAGTGCAAAGCCATTAACATTTGAACTTGGCGGCAGGCAGATTGGCTGGGACTTTTGTGACTCAGAGGTGTGAAACGTTGAAGCCTGGCTGATCTCCGCCCACTCAGACTGAGAGATTGCCCTTTGTGTGGCCTCTGCAGAGAACGCACTGCTTGTGAAAGTGGCGACACACTGAATATCGCTGCTGAGCTCAGAGTGAGCCAATCCAGGGGACGGCGACCCTGGAAGCACCCTCTTTTCTCAGCCCTCTTTTTCCTTAAGTTTATGGCCAGTTCTGCTCGCCTTCACCGTCCTTCAGCCTGGTTGAAGTGGAAAAGGAATTGATGTCTCTGTGTGATGTCTACTCACATCTAAGCCACAGCGTGGAAGCTGAGATGCCAGGTGAGAAGTGCATTGTGGGTCGTTGAAAACTATGCCCCCTTCACCGACTTCTTTTTGCAAAGAACAAGTCTTGAGTCCAGTGGTACCTTTAAGACCAACAAAGTTTATTTATTTATATATTTATATTTTATTTATTTATAAATGACAAGTCTTTATTAATTTTCCAACAATACATAACAACATATAGGATTCTTTATGCACATGATTTTTTTTGTTCCAGTCAACAAATCCAATACACATCTATGCAGAATTCAACTAATTATCCCTTCTGTGCCTCATTCTCCAGCCATGCAGAAAGTTTAAACCAAATATTCTTATATGTACATTCTTCTCTCCTTTGTAACCTCATTGTCAAGTTATCCATTTCTGCAATCTCTGTAAATTTTTCTATGAGTTCCTCCCTTTCTGGGATCGTTTCCAGTTTCCAATATTTTGCCAGGGTGATTCTTGCTGCAGTGAGCAAGTGGGTGGTTAGATGTTCATCTACTTTTTTCCAATTATCCGGCATTATGTTCAATAAAAATATCTCCGGAGCCATAGGAATTGGCTTTCTAAGAATTTGTACCATAATACTATGTATCTCTTTCCAAAACTTTTGAATTTTAGTACACGTCCACCAGACATGAAAATAGGTACCCTTCTCAGTTTTGCATTTCCAGCACTTTTCCGATACATTGGAGT